TGGAATCCTCCGGTTGCCCAAGATGCCCGAGATCAAGGCGATCAAGGGCGTCAAGTTTACCGACACCAAATTTGATGTGCGTTTGTAACGATGTTGTTCATATGGTGCATGCGATGATGGTTGACTGGCATGCGGCTGACACGGGGCATGGATGGATACGGATGACCCAAACCAGCCCGACGCGATCCGTTACAAGGACAAGAGCCGTGAGAAGCAGCGACGGGCCAAGATGGCCAAGCAGCAAGCAGAAGCCGAGGCCGCAGGCAGCGACGCCGAGTCGTCCGCCAAGAAATCACAACCATTCAAGAAACGCACAGTCTCATGGTCGCACAACAAGGAGGCCAAGGAGAAGCGTGTTGAGCGTCGCGACAAGCGCGAGCGTCGCCGTATCGCAACCGCACATGCCAAGGCAGGTGTTGCCCTCCCTGCAGCCGCTGGGTCTGCCGGAGCAGGCACCGGTGTTGGCGGCAAGAGAAAGGCGGCTAGCAGTAAGGAGGACGCTGGTGCATCTGCTGCTGATGATGACGACTTTTTGCAAGACTACAAGCAGCAGAAAAAGGAGAAGCGGCGGAAGCAGTATGGCATCAAGATGGATGGCGGGGATTCTGAATAAAGACGCTGATAGCCTGAGATGCACCCCTGGGCGACATCCATGGCTTCGATAGACACACGGTCACGTGACCTGCCGAGATTGTTGCAAAAGGAAAGCAAAAAGTGAGCGAAGTGGGATTCGAACCCACGTCTCTTGCGAGACCGCGACCTGAACACGGCGCCTTAGACCACTCGGCCATCCGCCCACTTATGGCTTCTTCTCTGGTTTTGACATTATATTTCAGATGTGTGCATACTGCCTGTGATTGCTTTCGTTGCGTGTTGGATGAACGCGTCGAGTGGATCTTGTCCTGACAGCCACAAAGCAAGCAGGCCGCTGTGACAATGCAGACGCAGCGACAGATGACAGACAACGAAGAGCATGTGCCCCGTATGCAGAGTCAGCTGCAGAGCACAGCCGAGCAGCCGGCTGTGGTCGAGCAGGTCGTTGGAGTGAGCAGCAGCCAAGCTGTCAAGCCAGGGCAGACAGGACTGCCACGACAGCCAGCAGCAGCAACGACTGCACAGTCAGGTGTGCCTCGCTATGTAGTGCCGCCAGCGACCGGCAGCCTTGCGTTTGGCAGCAGCCACTGGGACGGCAAGCCTGCCGAGATCCACGCCATGATCCTCAAGCACGCCGGCCCGCTCACTCGCTTCCTGTGCGGCCTACTCCGCGACACGGACACACTCGGCCAAGCGACAAAGCGAGCAGTGTGGATCGATGCGTTCAAGACGGACTGGCAGGGCGATCTGGCGCTGCTGCCTGACGCCAACCTGACGGCCGACAACGGACTGTTACTTGCACACTCTCGCTCCATGTACGACCGTCTGTGCAAGCGGTTTCCTCGTTACACGGAGGTCTCCTATGCAAGCTCAGACGCAGACAAGAACAACCACTATGACGGCTCGTTTGCTGTCACTCGCTTTGACAGCCACCGGCTGCTTCTCATTCCCATGCGGCACGGCTGGTTCGACCTGGTGGACTTTACTCATCCGATCACACTCACTCGCATGGCCGTCCGCTTTGGATGTCTTGACCTGCTGAAGCATCTTGACGACAAGTACAACACGCTCCAAGAATGGATGGCGAAACACGATCCGGCAAGCGAGTTCTGGCACCACGCAATGGATCAGGCTGCGAGCAATGGACATCTCGGTGTGGTGCAGTACATGTTTGGTCTCGGTGTGAGTGGATGCACGACATCAGCAATGGACTGGGCGGCCAAAAACGGACATCTCGATGTTGTGCAGTGGCTGCATGCCAACAGGACGGAAGGATGCACAGTATGGGCAGTCAATGGCGCAGCTGGCAATGGATATCTCAATATTGTGCAATGGCTCCACGATAAACGGATGGAAGGATGCACGACTGCTGCAATGGATGGCTCTGCACGTAATGGCCATCTGCATGTCGTCAAGTAGCTGCATGCCAACAGGACGGAAGGATGCACGAGGAGGGCGATTGTCTATGCTGCGCATTACGGCCGCCTTAATATGGTGCAATGGCTACACGAGACTCGCGGCTTCACTGTCAAAACCGACGAGATTGCCGCACTCCTTATCAGGAGCCTTGCACCAGAACGACGAGCCAGCATGGTTGATGAGATCTCGTGGTCGACCCAATGAAGGCGACAAAGAGCGCACTGGTTGTGTGCTGGCCTTGTTTGGGCAGCCGTCTGTCTAACGGCCATGAATAACAGCCGTGTTCAGCCAGCCAGCGGATTGTCCCCAGCGACTGGCCCTCTATGTATCCACCGAGCCAGTGCAGCCGGCCCGCTCCTTGACAGCGCGGCCGACGCGTTGATGCCGCGACCAACACACGACCAACCACGGCCAACACGGCCAACACCCACGACCACCAACGCAGCTGATCATGTTGAACTCGAGCTCGCCCGCCGCGCCAGGCCTCACGCAGCAGCCGCACCAGCAGCCGCTGCACCACTTCTCGCACCACGTCCACCCGCACGCCCACCTGGCCCCGCACCAGTTCCAGCAGCAGCCGATGCAGCACCAGCACCAGCACCACCTCAACCCGCACCTCACCCACCTCAACCAGCACCACCACCACCTGTCGTTCCAGCTGCATCCCCACGCCCCCGTGCAGCACGTCCCGCACGCCCCGCTGCCGCCCCAGCCCGTCCAGGGGCAGCAGGGTCTCGGCACAAAGCAGACCCCCTTGCAGCAGCAGCAGCAGCAGCAGCAGCAGGCCCAGATGCAGCCGCTTGACGTCGACGACCAGCAGCCCCGCAAGCCCGCCAAGGTTGGCCTGCCCCAGCCCATCCAGCACCCGCAGCAGCACCAGCAGGAGCTCAACAGCCAGTCGGAGTCGATGCCGTTCCAGCAACAGCAGGAGCTCGACAGCAACCAGCAGGCTGCCGTGCCTCTGCAGCAGCCGCACCTGCACCAGCTGCTGCCCATCGTGCCTGCCCAGCTGCCGCCGCTACCCATGGCCCTCCTGCAACACCCGCCCCCGCTGCAGCACTCGCTGCCCAGCACCCACGACCTCATCTGCCTCAACCACCTCTACCACAACGGCTATCTCCAAGGTCTCTACACAGATCTGGTGCTGAGGATACAGATCAACCAGCCGGCCCAGCCCCAGAGCCCGCTGGACCTCCAGCAGCAGCAGCAGCAGCAAGAGCTTGGCCAGCCGTCCGCGGGCAGCGACACGATTGTGTTCAAGCTGCACCGGATCATGGCTATCCGCTCTGCCACGCTCGCCGGCCTGTTGCACGACCACGAACGCTCCACCATGTCCAACGGCAGCAACAATGCCAACAGCGAGTAAGTCGCCCCATTGCTGCTCCTCTCAATCCTCTGTCTGTCTCTCTGCCAGGCTGTCTCTCTGCCAGGCTGTATCTCTGCCAGGCTGCAAAAGATGCGTTGCTGACTCGCTCTGGTTCGTGTTTCTTTGCTTGTTCGCGCGGCAGGTTCCAGCTTATTCCGACACTTGCGCTCACGACGAATGACCCCAACATCACATCCGAGGGTCTGGGCATCGCCATTGGCCACCTCTACTCGTCGTATGTGCACAGTCTCCTCGCGTCGAAGCTGCAGGGCGGCCCCCTGAGCACCCAGCACCGCTCGTCGGTCCTGCGCTCCGTCTTTGCGGCCGCCCATCTGCTCAACCTGCCGGATCTGGCTGCCATGACGCTCGGCTTCATCAAGGACGACGTGTCAACCGAGTCGGTGCTTGGCTACTGCCAGTTTGTGTCCAGTGATGGGGCTGCCCGATACGGTGCTGGTCTGGCGGAGCTCCGCGAGGCGGTGTTTGGATATCTGTGCAAGGGCGTGCTCGCCGAGATTGCCGGCAAGCATGGCCTCATTTGGCAGAACAAGGAGGGCGACGCATACCGCACGCTTGTATCGCTGTTCTCTGGCCTGCCGTTTGAATGGCTCAAGCGCGTTGTCGAGTCCAAGGCATTCGAGGTGCCCACGGATATGGAGAGGTATGTCTGTCGCAATCTATACACCGGCCCGCTGTTTCGGTCTGTTTGGCTTAAACCCTCATGCTTGCCTTGTCTTGTCGCGATTCGTTTGCCAGATACTCGTTTGCCAAGGAGACTGTCCAGCTGCGGTCGCGCCACAGAGCCACTGGGTCATCGTCGTCGGTGATGGCTGCCGGAGAAGAGAGTGTGCTTCTTGCCTTTGGTGGCGGCACCAAGGGATCTGCTGCAAACGTGGCGATTGTCCGCAAGGCATCCAAGGTGTTCAACATGTCGGCCAACAACGCCAGCCAGAAGGCAACCAGCAACGGCAACGGCAGTAGCCACAATGCTCTTGCTCAGCAGCAGGGACAGCAGGGACAGCAGGGACATTCATCGTTGGCAAACGGCGCTGGGCAGTCTGCCCATGCGGCCGCTGGAATGGCTGGCATGCGTGGATACTCGCCTGTGCCCGAGCGCCGCATCTGGAAGGCTAGCAACTGAAAGGATAAAACAGACAGGCGAGCTTGCAGTGGGCGGGCTTGTTTTGGTCGGTCGGTCAGTTGGTTGACTAGTTGGTTGACGAGTTGGTTGGTTGGTTGGTGATGGGGAGTGATGAATGGATCCCAAAATGAAGCGAACATTGCGCGAATCTCCCAAAAGTGCAAGGTTTGACACTGGAATGAGATGCTGGATGATGTCGATGAGCGCACAGATCTGCGCAGGGCACTCTTCGCGGCGGCGGAAGCTTGCTTGTACATGCACCAGCAGGTCGTTCGCCTCAACGAACGTGTTGATGCCAGTGTTGATCAGCGAGACGCCGTGGTGGTCGTTGGGGTCGAGTGGGTCGCCCTTCTTGGAACGGAGACGATGCTGGACGAGGCCCAGTGGTCGAATCTGTCTCTGGCAACGGCTCGGGCCGCATGTCGAATGTCAACCCTCAACCACTCAGGTCACGTGACCGTGGCCAAACGTGCAAAAAAATGAGCAGAGTGGGGTTTGAACCCACGCCCCTTTCGGGACCGCGGCCTAAACACGGCGCCTTGGACCACTCGGCCATCTGCCCCCAATAGAGTTCGAAAAATATTTAGTCAATATCAATGGTGCTATATCCAACTCTCGGTGACTGTTGAATGACGGTGGCCGCTGTGTCTCATTGGAGAACAGGCCGCGCGTGTTTGCCCTGCAAGAGACACTGCTGAGAAGAGACGCTTTCAAGTTCACAGTGCATGCCATTGCGTCGCGCGAGGTGCCTGGTGGGCAGATACTCATGAAAGTACCAAAACTGTACCAGACATTTGACTTGCAATGCCGGTCGGTAGACTGCCAGGCTGCCACTGATGAGGAGGTCGAGGCGTCCGCCCAGGCTGCACGCTGTTTGGCCTCGTGTTCAACTTGCTCCTCGACGACAGCCTAGATGGCATCCCAGAGATCAGCATTGTTACAGATGCAGTCACATGACCGCGGCTGTGATTGATCTCGCGTCCAAGGCCATTGTCGTGGGTCGGACTGGGTGCGAGACAGCCGCCCACGGTTGGATGGCAGGATCTCGAGATGGGACTTGATTACAGTGGAGTCAGCCTCGAGCTACTCCAGCAATACGACGACGAATACGATTGACGATGGGTTGACTGAGGGAAAGCCAACACCACCTCCTCGCGTCTCATCATTCATGCGTCACGGCTGTCTGCCACGCGATCCACATCCTCTCTGCCACGTGCACGACCCCTTAGCTCGGCTCAGTATGCATCGCCCGTGCACATCCACCGCATGATCGGGAACCTCCGATATCTCATCTGCAGCCATGCCTCTGTCGTGGTCCACGACACCTGGCACAGGAGCTTCTGTGATGCAGATGTGCACATCCACGGCTTGTAGGCTGTGGACACTGCCCGACGGTTTGTATCTTGAGCGAGGCGGCGCGGGCAGTTGGGCATGCCGACCTGCAACATCGACGTGTTGCACAGGAGCTGGACACTCTTGCTCAGGTCTGGTGGGAGTCCGCAGCCGCTCGTCTCCAGAGCCGTCTCGGACTGTCCGGCCATCGTGCTCTTGGAGGTCGTGAGCGTGGCGATCTCGGCGGTCGTGGCGGGGCCGCCTCGGTTGTCGGAAGAGGGAGCCGTGCTTCCGACAAGGCCTGCATGAATCGTGCTGGCCGTCATGTGTCATGCCAACACACAGCCCGCAGCACACAGCACGCAGCACACAGCCACCCACCGTGACGCCACCAGCAGGGGCAAACGCGTCCAACACATGGTCGGAGTTTGTGTGATTGGACGGCATTGCGACCAAGCCAGAATTCGCCGAGCGCTGTCCTGGCGTCCAACCTCCGCCTCAGACTCACAGGGTCAGAGCAGATCCCCCGCCGCATCTGGCCAGGTGGCGGCAAGGCGAGCGGAGCCAGCGAGAACGGTCCGACCGTGTGCTGGGAAACACGCATGAATCGCGCACGCACATGGAGCGCACTGGCTGCTGGAAGCACACAGACACGCCAGATCTCCGCCTGGCCGTCTTTCCCTCGTCCCCGACATCCTCTTGCACACAGCAGCACACAGAAACACACATCAACACACACAACAGCCCACACAGCAGCCCAAGCACCATCCATCCAAGCAATGGCCGGTGCCCTTTCGCTCCTCTCGCGTCTTGTCCTCACGACCGTGGTGTTGGCCGTCGCCATGCTTTCGCACTCGTCCGGCAGTCATGCTTTGTACGAGGCCAGAGCTGTCGGTGTCGTTTCTCCGCCGCCGTTCCAGGACATCAAGGACGTCTTGCTGAGCATCGTGAACGTGGTCGTCCACTTGGCCGTCCTCGTCGGCTCGCTTATGCCTGCCCTCGTCCATGCCTTCTTCGCCGTCCTCCCCCTTCTTTCGGTGAGTTGCGGTTGTAGTCGTCTGCATGTGTGCATGTTTCGTTGTGCATGCCTGCTGCTTGCCGTCTGCTGCCTGCTGCCTGCCTCGGCCCTCGCTCAGCATGCCGGCGTGGCTCCGCCCTCGCTGAGCATGCCGCCGTGGCTTACGGGGCGGCGGACTGGGTGGCTGGGCGTGTGGCTTGCACGCTTGTCGGAGTTTCGCGATCGCGTCCAACCTTGCCCGTCCTTGTTCGCGTGTTCATGCGAGCTACCCTTGGCTGACACCTCCGCCTGCACCTCCCGTCTTGCTCCAGTACGCCGCCAGTCTCTACCTGGGGTTCCGTCTGGCCCTGCTCGTCGTGAGCGGAGTCTTCGTTGCCGTCCGTGGAGTCTTCGTGGTCGTGAGCGGTGGCTGCCGTGCTGCGTGGGGCCAGTGCGCCAGTGAGTGTCCCGAAGGATCTTCCTCGGGTCATTCCACTCGCAGCATCAGACCCACGCCTCACGCTGCAGCCACCGCCGACTGCGAATGCTACACGTTTGATGGTTGTTATTGCCTCGCCTGCCTTGACGCCACCCTTGCGTCGCTCGCCATGCTGCTCCGCAACATCGACGCCGAGGCGCTTCGCAACGAGTCAACCGCAGCGGCCAAGGCTGCAGCCCGCGAGCTTGCCTTGCACTCAACTGTTGTGGTTGCTCCTGTGGCTGCCGCGTCGATCACGCTTTCCGAGTCTGTCCCGCTCCCCGAAGACGTCCTGACCGATGACACCGACCTCCTGTTCCTCGCTGCATCCATCGCGCTCCCCGAGGATGCCACGACCGATGACACCGACCTCCTGCTGCTCGCTGCATCCATCGCGCTCCCCGAGGATATCCCTAGTGTTCAAGCCACGCGTGAATCCGAGCCGGTTCTCTCTGACAAGCTGGAGTCGCGTGCTTCGCGTGAGGCAAAGAAGATTACAAGGCTCATGAAGCAATACCAGATCGACCACCTGGAGACACCTGCCGTGCGCTTCGAATTCTTCAACAGCGCCAAGCATCGTTATTCTCTTCTGTTCAAATCTCGTGGTGCACGTTCAAGAGCCGAATCCAAGCTTGCTGCGACTGCTCCTTTGGCTGTCCCTATGACTGCGACGGCGGCTACTGCGTCGATCACGCTTTCCGAGAATGACACGGCCGACGAGATCCAGACCGCAGAGACCGATCTCCTGCCTCTCGCCAAGTCCATCGCGCCCACCGAGGATATCCCTAGTGTTGTATTGATTCTGCCTTCTGATGCCATCCTGACTGATGACAAGCCCAATGCTGCTGTTCCCGACACCACTGCCATCCTCGTTTCGCCGCCTGTCGTCCATGACCACTTGACTTTCACTGCTGAATCACCAGCCACGTCCACTGACCTTGCACCTGCTCCTCAAGACGCGGCCGTTTCCGCAGCTCAAGACCCGATCACCCACTCTCAGAGTGTCGTAGAGCGGGTCAAGAGCGCCGAAAAGGCCGTTGTTGCAAGAGCACGCGAGTTTGGCGAACGCACTGGTGATCAGCTGGCAATCACCCAGATCATTGCCTACTCTCCAACTCGACTCGAATTCGATGTTCAGTGGCTGGTGAAGATCGGTACCTCGGACCGCAACCAAGTGCACGTTTCATTCTTTGAACCGTCGGTCGCAAAGCGTCTCATCCGTCAAGCAGTGAAGACGGAGATGTCTGACGAGACCCTCGAGAGTATCGTGAAGACGCCATACGACCCGACTGTCAAGAAGAACATCCGTCGCGGCGGCAAGAACAAGAAGCGCTGAACTGTCCTGATAACTTTCTTTCTGTTGATGTTTTTCTTGAAACACTTCTACCTCAATATACCTTCTTTGTGTCGACTCAACCTTTGTACACACTCATGATGATCGCCTGACATGGAAGGCGAGCGATCGAGACAGAGCTGGATGCGGCCTGCGAGTGCCGTCTGAAAGCAGAATGCAGACTACTGTTGACGCTGGTGCATGCCAAGCTCATTCAATGGTCCATTGCCGGGACACAGCATGGACTGCTGGGCGGGAGTCGTGGCGAGCAACGCTGGCGCAGAGAGCGCAACGACGGCCTCAGATGGAGGATCGACCTTGGTGATCTCTGAAGCAGCAATCGCAGAGCTGATCTGCCAGCGCATCCTCAGGGAAGAGGGAGGTGGAGGAAGATGCTGGCAGGTGGGCCGACACCAGACACGGTGCGCAGCGCTGTGCAGCAGATGCACCTGCGTCTCTGTGAGCTTTGCCAACAACCCTTGATTCTGGTGGCGACATGGAGGGACCAGTGCGGCAATCACGTCTTCATTCCAAGAACAGCTCTTGGCGATCCATTCATCACTTGCTTGACGCTTGCAGTCTTTTGATGGTTGACTCGAGTCTCTCAATGGTGAGCTTGGTGCAGTTTCCTTGCTCTGCTTGGATAAGCAGCGCCTGTGCCTGGTCAAGTGTGAGGCTGCCAAGGAGGATATCGGCGACGGCGGCTTTCTTGGCGCGGTAGAGTGCTCCGAGTCCAACCGCGTAGCCACAATCCAACAATTGCCGCACCATCTCGATATTGCAGAACCTGGCCGCCGTTTCAACAGCGTAGTTTGATGTGCAGACACCCTTGGAGTGCATGTACTTGACGATGTCCAAGTGGCCCTCACGAATGGCGATTTCCAACGTGCGTGACGTACACTCCAAGCCGCGAGTCTCGTGTAGCCATTGCACCATATCAAGGCGGCCGTAATGCGCAGCATAGACAATCGCCCTCCTCGTGCATCCTTCCGTCCTGTTGGCATGCAGCCACTTGACGACATGCAGATGGCCATTACGTGCAGAGCCATCCATTGCAGCAGTCGTGCATCCTTCCATCCGTTTATCGTGGAGCCATTGCACAATATTGAGATATCCATTGCCAGCTGCGCCATTGACTGCCCATACTGTGCATCCTTCCGTCCTGTTGGCATGCAGCCACTGCACAACATCGAGATGTCCGTTTTTGGCCGCCCAGTCCATTGCTGATGTCGTGCATCCACTCACACCGAGACCAAACATGTACTGCACCACACCGAGATGTCCATTGCTCGCAGCCTGATCCATTGCGTGGTGCCAGAACTCGCTTGCCGGATCGTGTTTCGCCATCCATTCTTGGAGCGTGTTGTACTTGTCGTCAAGATGCTTCAGCAGGTCAAGACATCCAAAGCGGACGGCCATGCG